CTTCCATTTGTTTCAGGTTAGCTAAGCAAATACCAGAGATGCAGTAAAAATTGATAAGCCATTGAAAAGCATGATAGCCGGTTTCTAGTATGTATTGATATGAACTAAAACCAGTAAGCCATTCAAGGAGATCATCCACTTCTATAGTCCTTGAAACTGAAATATTATTGATGGTACAGGAGCCCAGTTTCCTACAGGGCTGGTCAAACCACTAGGGAAACCTAGGCAATTGCCTAGCGTACCAAGTTTTGAGGGGCACAAAAAACATGAAAGGAGCTTCCTTGGTTGGCTTGATGGCAAGCCTAGCATTAACTGGCTTCTAGAATCTCCCTGTCTCTGGACTCGGGTCTTCTGTAGCTGCCATGGTGGAATATGGAGGGCTTTGGAAGAGCTTATCTACTTATCTATTTACATGATTCATTTTGAATGGCCAGTGAGTAAAATGTGCCTGCTATGCATCACAGTTCTCTATCTGATGAAATGAGGGACACCAAGATCATTATTTTCCTCAGGCACCAAAAGCCCCTGGACTGGACCTGCTTTCCTATGTATGCAACAACACATTATTTAGGGATAGGAGCTCCTCCAGAAATTAGGACCTGGTGGTTGACTGGAATTCTAGAGCTAGTTGCAGTAAGGCTGTGGCCAAACTGGGCACTAGACCAGCAACCTGCAGAATGTATGAACCTGACCTTCAACCCACACATTTTTGACAACTGACCACTGGTCCTGTACTCACAATCTGCTAGCACTCTGACCATATCACTTCCTAACATGATGTTTGGCTTACTTTGGTGTAGTGGTTAGGAGCGTGGATTCTAATCTGGGAGAACTGGGTTTTATTCCCACATGCTTCCACATGCAGCTGCTGGTGTGACCTTGGGTCAGTCATAAGTTCTCCCAGAGCTGTTCTCTTAGGAGCAGTTCTTGAAAGAGCTCTCCCAGCCCCACCTACCTTGCAGGGTGTCTGTTGTGGGGAGGGGAAAGGAGAGGGATTGTAAGCGCCTCTGAGACGCCTTCCGGTAGTGAAGCATGGGGTATAAAACCAATCTCTTCTTCTTAATGGGTTTTTCCTATTTAAAATAAATCTCAGCATCACTGCTGGCAATGGAGGGAGGGGACTCTTCCACAGACCCCTTATGTAACTGGGCAAGTGTTTCCTCCCCTTCTTCTTGCACCATCCCTTGATTTCTCATGTTTTGATCTGACAGCCCAAAGCCCTAATATCAGCCAGCAAAGACAGCAGACCAGAGTCCCAAAGAGATGCTGAGAGTTTATATCCCAAGGCGAGGGGGGGGGACACATCTGGGCAAACTCAGTGGGAACGGGGGGGGGCGTTTCTCAGCCCTGCCTAGAAAACAAGGAGCCCGCATTCCTAGGGCGGATGTCTGGGCCCCCACACCCGTTAGCTCTTTCCACCTCTGCTGCCTCCCCACGCTTCCCGCGACCGCCTATTGCGGACCGTCGGACCTCAGAGTCCCTCTGCAGCGCAACCTCACTCAGCGCCCGAGGACCACGTCCTGCAAGGCAGCTTTCTCGCCCCCCCCCCCCAGTTCTTTCCCCTAACGGGTCTTCGCTGCCCCCCCCCCGGGGGTCCCTCCCAGCCGGCCCCCCCTCCGCCCCTGCCCCCCTGAACCGGGGGGCAGCAGC